TGTTGAGGGGACTCTGATTTCTGTTCAGTCATATGCATTTTTTGCGATGTTAATATTGCTAACTTTTCTTGAATATTAGGTAGGACTTGAGACGATGATATGTAGTTAGAAAGTAAAATGCTTTAGAGAAGCTTTCTATTTAAAGAAATAAAATATTTTGGCTTCCAAGAAAATACATTCATCCATATAAATAGTTATCGAATGTCTGCTGTGTGCAAGAGTTACAGCCAGTGTCAAGAACTGCATGGACCCTGCCCTCAAAGAGTTTACAGTCTAAGGCAGCCGTGGGCAAACTACGGCCCGTGGGCCGGATCCGGCCCGTTTAAAATGAATAAAACTAAAAAAAAAAAGACCGTACCCTTTTATGTAATGATGTTTACTTTGAATTTATATTAGTTCACACAAACACTCCATCCATGCTTTTGTTCCGGCCCTCCGGTCCAGTTTAAGAACCCATTGTGGCCCTCGAGTCAAAAAGTTTGCCCACCCCTGGTCTAGGGGGACAGATAACGAATGTGTACACAGGAGATAAAACAAGATAAGAAATGACAGGCGCCATAAAAGAAACTAAACCCATAGGAGGGAAAGATTATTTCTGGCTTTGGTTATCAAGATAGTAAAGGAAGAAGTAGATCTGATGTAAACGGAAGATAATAGATAATGATTTTATTCTAGCGCTATGTTTCAGGCTCCATGCCTTTGAGAGCCCCTGTGCCCATTGTTGGTATTTCTAATCCTGCACTGGCAGTAGGTTTCCCAATGGGCTCTCATTGTCAATAGAATACTGTTAAGTAATTCATCAAAAGGCGTTTCTTGTCAGTGCTCTCAATAAGTGCCTTTTCTGTAGCACAAGAAATACTATCCTGGGCCATCAGCTCCCTCGGATCTCAGATTTGTCACCTTTCTTTTCCAGGGACTTGTCATTCCCATATCTAAATCCAATTTTGTTGACGTGATCTTGCTGTTCTGAACATTTTAGTTTGAGTCTGTATTTACGAGAGATGTGAAGATAAAGGTCTATTAGCTGATCACTGCTGTTTCTTTTTGCTTAAACCACGTATATAGGTGTGATCATGATGGCTGTGGAAAAGCATTTGCAGCAAGCCACCACCTTAAAACTCACGTCCGTACACATACTGGTGAGTTTAAGTTCATTTTCATTTTCATCTTCAGAGAGCCAGTAAATACCGATGTTTCTGTTGAGACCTGTAGAGCTCTGTGGAGGGAGGGAGCCTTATCAGCTTAGCCTTCCACCTATGATATTTGACTTTCAGAGGTAAAAGGATCTAAAGGTTGGACTCAGGAATCCAACCTTAAGAAATGAAAACAGTACCAGGATACTCAATAAAAGAACCTGGGGGAAAACTAATCTCTTTAAACTTCCCCGGAGCAGGCTCTTCTCAGTGCTTTGCTCTACATTGAGTTTTAGGATTAAGATGGTTAACATTTAATTTAGCTAATGTGTAACAGCTGGTAACCTGAACCCTCATAAGAATACTTCCCTCTTTTAGGGAATAGTAGGTGTCTTAACTCAGTGAAATGACTTCATGGTCAAATTAACACTACTTGTCATTCTTGCAGGTGAACGACCCTTTTTCTGCCCCAGTAACGGCTGTGAGAAAACATTCAGCACTCAGTACAGTCTCAAAAGTCACATGAAAGGTCACGATAACAAAGGACACTTATACAATGCACTTCCAACTCACAACGGATCAGAGGTGTGCAGTATTTTCTCTCTGGCTTTGAACTGGGCACCACAGAACAGCAACCATTGTTTGTGTATCAAAATAAAAGGTCAAAACATCATCTCTGTGTATCTCTTAGTGAGAGGGAAGAAATCAGGGCCAAGCTCTATGTCTTGGGGATGGGGTGGTAGAAGCCAGAAATCTCACCAGACTTGGTGCTTCAGCCCTTGATTCAGCTCCCCCTCCTGTGTGTGGAAGAGGTCTTGAAACCCGAGGTCTAGAATGGCTTCCAGAGGACCAGCCAGATGCTCCAAAAGCGTGTATTTTCCCATGCATATCTGTAAAATGGTATATCTGTACTTGAGTTTGGAACACAAATTAATACTTTACCTCACACATCCATTAACCTGTCATTGGAGAACCAGGAAGAGGCTGGGGGTTCCCTTGCCCTTCTGAATTGTCTGCAGACCAAAAGGTTTGACAATCACCAGTTTAAGGCACTAAACCACAGAACAGGCCTCTGCAAAGTTTTAGGGAATTTTGTCTAGTCTTTGACAGGTTCCTCCACCGTATTTCCCTCTCCCAGCTCATTCCAAGAGACCCTAGGGTGAATTTCCTGTTCCTGCTGGTAATGTGGCATTGGGTACTTACCATATGTCTTTTAAACCTAGAAAGTGAGTGCTATTATTATCTTACTACTTCATAGTTAAAGAAGCAAACTGACCCTCTTTTGAATAATGAGGTTCTTAAAGTGTATAATATGATTTTGATTTGGGGAGAGACAGCATACTTTAATTCTGTGGTTTGCAACTTCTAAACAACAGAGGATCCCTTTAAACGGACTCTCTCCCTGTGTTTTATTAGCAATAATAACACTTACTGATTGTTTGCTGTGTGCCAGATACTGTGCTAAGTGCTTTTTTATGTTTTCTCTCACATGAGCTCTGTGAGGTCAGTCCTGTTGTTATCCCCATATACTGATAAAGAAACTAGAGGCAAGGAGAAATGACTTGCCTAAGGATCCAGAGCTTGTAATTAGACTTATTATTCCAGAACCTGGTTCCCGATCCCTATGTTGTGAGAGGCAAAACTGCATGTGTTGTGAAGTCTGGAGCTCAGCTGTCTGAATTCAGATCTAAGCTCAGCCACTAATCGGATGACCTTAGGCAAATGGCTTCTTTGTGCCTTGGTTTCTTCTTCTGTAAAAACAGATATAAATGTTAAGATTTGAGAGTCTTTGTCTGCTAAGCTGCATTTATGAGGTCATGATCAGTTTTCCGACTTTGGTAGCAATCCAGGGATAGTTTAACTGTTGACCACCTGTATGCATCGGAGGCCCCAGTGCACAGTGCTCGGACCTCTTCTCTGGATCACTCAGCACTGTCCAGTGGAAGTCTCCTCCAGCCCCAGGCTTTAAATGCCATCTTTGAGTCCTAGATTCATATTCAGCCTGGATCTCTCTGAACTCTAGACTTATCCATTCAACCTCCCACTTGTCATCTCCACCCAGATATCATCGGCTCTTCTCCAACTTGACATGCACAAACCTGTTCCTCCTGCAGGTTTCCCATCTTAGTAAGTGGCACCTATTTCTCTACTGGCACGGGCCAGAAATCTTGGAGTTGTTTTATTTCTCTCATACTTCACATTTACGAGCAAAGCCCATTAGCATTACCTTGAAAACATATCTAGAATCTGATCACTCTTTCTGGGTACCTCATTCAAGCCACTCTCCTCTTTTGCCTGGATTATTGCAGTCACCTGCTGAGTGGTCCTCTTGGCACTCCCACTCTGCCCTGACACACACTTTTCTACATGTCACCGAGAGTGATCTTTCTAAACCATGGGCAGGTAATGTCTGTCCTCTCCTCGGAACACTCCAGTAGTTCCTTGTATCGCTTAAAGTCAAAATTTTTACAGTGTGTTACAAGGCCCTACACTCTGGCATCGTCATTTCTCTGACCTAATTTACATCTCTTCCTCTCGCTTCAGCCATGTTGTCCTTCTGTGGTTCTTTGAACCAGGGAAGCTCAAGCCTGCCTCCAGGCCTCTGTACTTGCTATATCCTCTGCTTGGAACACTTTTCCCACTTATGCCCTCTTTCCTTCAGTATCTGCTCAAGTGCCACCTTATCTAAGAGGCCTTTCCTATTCTAATAAAAGGGCAGCTCCTATCCCAGCATTCCCTATTCCCTTGCCCTCTGTAGCATTTATTATCATCTTATATACAAATATATTTATTTGCTTGTCCCCTCCCCATACTGTAAACTCCTGCTACAATATAAGCTGTATAGCTGCAGGGACTTGGTTTTGTTCATTATTGTATTCCTGGGCCTGGAACAGTGCCCAATACATAGTAGATGCTCAGTGAATATTTGTTGAATGCATGCATGAATGGTAACATCTAATCCATTAGGTAAGCAGGGTTACCACAAAATATGTGAACTGATACTGGCATTCTAGAAACCCAGAGTTCAGAGTTGGCCTAGGCAGCCGTATTTTAATAGTCAATCCTCAGTAACGTTCTGAGGAAGGACCCCTGAGTTGCCCATATTGAGGACACAGTGATGTAATGGAAGGAAGAAGGACTTTCTATTAGAAGCACTGGGTTTCTGTTCTGTGAATGAGCTGCGTGATTTTGGACAGTTCACTGCCACTCCCCATTAATTTTCTCATTTCAAATGGAAATGTAAATTAACACTTCAAAGTTTTATATGAATAGCAAATGAGGTTATGTGAAATCACTTTGTAAATGATAAGACTAATTATACAAATACTGTTAATTTCATATTACCATGACTTGTTATTCTAGAGCAGTGATGGCGAACCTATGACACGCGTGTCAGAGGTGACACGCGAACTCATTTTTTTGGTTGATTTTTCTTTGTTAAATGGCATTTAAATATATAAAATAAATATCAAAAATATAAATCTTTGTTTTATTATGGTTGCAAATATCAAAAAATTTCTATATGTGACATGGCACCAGAGTTAAGTTAGGGTTTTTCAAAATGCTGACACACCAGGCTCAAAAGGTTCGCCATCACTGGTCTAGAGCCTTAGTTGGGAGATAATTCTTAAACTCTTTACTAATCATCTTTAAGAAATGTAAGTGATTCTTCTAAGAATATCAGGATTTTAAAAAGTGAAGTAATTCACATAGTTCTTGTTTAGATGGTTTACATCTAGACATTTGGGGCATTGTAATCAGGTGTTTTATTACATGATATGCTACTATAAATCCTGGTTTTTATGGGGGTACTCAGTAAGAATTTTTTCTCTTTCACAGGATGCAAATCACTCGCTTTGTCTGAGTGACTTGAGTCTTCTGTCCACAGATTCTGAATTTCGAGAAAATTCCAATACAGTAAGTATACCTGTAATATGGGTACTAGAAAAATAAGTGCAAGAACTGAGCACTCAATTTGGTGGGGAAATTGAGGGAGACCAATTTTTGAAGTCTTCCAAATGTAGTTGTGTTCAGTTACTTACTATTCAATGCAGTAGGAACAGAGACTAAATGACTATTTAAGGTTTAGGGTTTTCTGATTTTATTTCTGTTTTTTTGTTTTTTTGTTTGTTTTTTAATACAAGCTCTCATAGAGAGGTTGTTCTTTCTGATGCCTAATGCCTTTTGACCCAGATCACTCACTTGATAACCTCCTGGCCCCCAAATATTTCTTTCTTTATTCATTGAGCAAATATTTATCAGGTGCCTACTCCATCAGGCAGTGTACTGATGCTGAGCTTGTAGTGGTAAAAATGTAGGTGTGGTTCGTCCTTGAGGAGCTTAAAATTAGTCCCCTATAAGGGGGAACCTGAATTCCAGTCTCCAGATTTTCTGAAACCCCGCCGGTCTGATCTGAGTCAGTCTTTTCCTTTGTTTGAGCTCCCCACATTGGGGTTTTTAAGGCAACCTCCTCTTTGGGCCCCCTGCTAAAGGACAACCTGCTATCCAGTTCACTCTGTTTGGAATTTCCCCTCCTTTCCCGTGGCTCCGTGATGTGCCTTGCAACCACTGCATTAAGCCTGAGCTCGTGCTGCTCCGTGAGTGTGCTTTACTGTGTCACCAGCACCGGTTGTTAGTGTGCAGCTTTTGTTGTTTTTCTTTGCTAAATATAGCTTAGGTTAGAGTTTCTCGTTATATACGTCATATAAATAAGAAGGAATCAGTGCAATAGGAACAGAGACTAAATGACTCAGGAATGCTGTGAAAAAGTATTTCTCAAAGTGGAGTCATCTGCAGCACTTCTGCCAATGTAGGTTCTTGCTGCCACCCCAGCATTCCCTATTTCCTTACTTGCCCCAAGTCCCTGGGAGTGGCACCTGACACTGCATTTTTATATAAGCACCCCAAGGCCTGGGTCTGGTCATGGCAGAGTCGCTCTTACCAGACCAGCTCTGATAAGAAAACGAGATAGCCCCACCAGTGTGGCTCAGTGGTTGCGTGTCAACCTATGAACCAGGAGGTCATGGTTTAATTCCTGATCAGGGCACATGCCTGGGTTACAGGCTCCATCCCCAGTAGGGAGAGTGCAGGAGGCAGCCGATCAATGATTCCCTCTCATCATTGATATTTCTATCTCTCTCTCTCTGAAATCAATAAAAATACGTATATATTTTTAAAAAGATAACTATATATGTGGACAAAATATAAAAAACAACTACTCAAAGGCACCAGAGAGCAACCCAAATAGGCAGAGGTAACACTTGGAAGAAGGGGCCGCCTGAAAGATAGCAAAGGCACTTGGCTGGGTTTTCAGGCTTTTTGGCTTATCAGGGCCGGCTCGGTTGACACCAAACAAGGTGGCCAAAACTCAGTAAACACTCAGTGCTGCTGGCATGGTAATCCAGAGGGCAGAGGTCAGGGCTACCAAAGCGCCTAGAAAATGAGGGGCCATAGCCTGGAAAGGAGAGAATCACAAAAGAGAGCCCCAAGTCTTTGTGAAAACTGTGTCCAGATCTCTAGTTGACCCCTGAACTATGGCTGTGTGAGGCAGACCCTAAGCAGCGCAGCTAAGGCTAAAGAGGTGGACGAAGATTGCAGCTGCTGTCCACTGCAGGGAAGACAGAGTGTGAAGCTGGAGGACAGCCCAGTCGATGGAATGTTAAAGCAAACACTCTTCCAAGTGTCACAGAATCCGGAGTCTTTCTGTAACATGTTATTTGCAATGTACAGTGTGATCCAGAATTAGTAAACCTGAAAAGAAACAGAAAACTTTTATCCTTATTCAAGAGAAAATATAATCCTATGGAGACCCACCTCAAGCTGAACCAGATGTTAGACTTGGTGACAAGGATTTTTTTTTTAATTCTCACGAGGATGTTTTACTGATTTTTAGAAAGAAAAAAAGGGAGAGGGAGAGAGAACCATCGATGGATGAGAGAGACATTGATCAGTTGCCTCTGTATGCCCTCCCACTGGGGATCAAACCCGTGACCTAGGTATGTGCCTTGGCTGGGAATCAAACCCGCAATCTTGCAGGCACGGACAATGTTCCAACCAACTGAGCCACACCAGCAGGACTGCAGACAAGGATTTTTAAGTAGCTCCAAGGAATATGCTTATAATGATTGAATATGTAGGAAATCTCAGCAGAGAAATAGACTTTTAAAAATGTACCAACTGGAAATTCTGGAACTGAAAATTTATGTGAAATAAAATATTCACTTGGATGAGCTTAGCAGCAGATTGGAAATGACAGAAGAAAGAATCAGTTAAGTTGAAAATAGGTCAGTAGAAATTAACCAATCGGAAGAAAAAAACAAACAAACCATAGTAAATAAGCACTTCATATGATTTTCATGCATATTCATATTTCAGAGCTAATGCTTTAAAAGAAATGTCTGTATTGGGTAGCCTGGTTGACCTCTGAGCTGTGCAGCCTAAGATTTCTGGTTATAATAGCTCTTTAATCTCAGATTGTTAAATAGTTTAGGGGTTTACTCCTGGCTAGGGCTGTGACGAATGATTGAGGACCTTTCTGGAGCCCTGGGGTCACCGGGGAAGAATGTTGGTATGAGGGACATGAAGTGCGTACTTACAAAAAACAGGACTGCTTTCCTACTATTTACATCCACCAGAGAGAGGCTGCTCTATCCCTTGGGGTTACATTACATATTGTGCCCTTACTGCCCAGCATTTATCCCAGAATTGGAAATAGTCTCATTTTTAGCCTTTCAAGCTAAGGCCATAATTCCTTGAAGTCATAAGATTAATTTTGCATTGCTTTACTTTGCTTTAAAAAAAATTGATTGTTAAAATCAAATGGTAAATGAATACACCATAATTTGTTCTTTCTACTTCCCTTGGGTATCTGGGTAGTTTCTAGTTTGGGGCCATGATGAATAGTGCTATGAACATTCTTGTGCATAATCTTTTGGAGTCATGCAGGCTCATCAGTCAACGTTATTGTTGATGATTTGTAAACAGGAAGAACCAAAAAACAACCACGAGGAAGTTGCAAAGTTTATAGTTTAGTGGTAGTTGTTAGCCCACTATTTTTCAAAATGGGTTGTACCTTGCTGTGGCCGGTGTGTCTCAGGGGATAGAGCATTGGCCTGCTCACCCAAAGGGTTGCGGGTTCCATTCCCAGTCAAGGGCACATACCTGGGTTGTAGGCTCGATTCCTGGTCCCCGTTAGGAGGCAACCAATCAATGTGTCTCTCTCACATCGACTTTCCTCTCCCTCTCTCTCTCTTTCCCCCTCTCTCTCTCCACTCTCCTTTCACTTTCTCTAAAAATCAATGGGAAATATATCCTTGGGTGAGGATTAACAACAACAAGAAATGATTGTACCTCATTATTGGGTTATAAAATAGTATTTATAATCAGCATTTTAAGGACATCAACAGAATAGAAAGTATTAGAAGACATTGTGTATAGTAAGGATAAGCTTCTATTTCTTAGACTTTCATTTCAGTTATACACATGGATATGTATGTAATATGAAATATATATGTATATATATACTTGATAATATAAAATGTACTTCTTTGTATCACAATGAAAACTTTGAGGGCCACTGTCTTGCCTGCGATTCTCAACCCGCTGTGGATGGAAGCTGGAAGCCTCACATAGATTTCTGCCTTCATCTCTGTCATCCTGGCAATCCGATCCACCGAACTTCCCCTCTCAGCCTTCCTGATGGTGGAGTCATGCTAGAGCAGTGGTTCTCAACCTTCTGGCCCTTTAAATACAATCTCTCATGTGACCCAACCATAAAATTATTTTCGTTGCTACTTCATAACTGTAATGTTGCTACTGTTATGAATCGTAATGCAAATATCTGACATGCAGGATGGTCTTAGGCGACCCCCGTGAAAGGGTCGTTCGACCGCCAAAGGGGTCGCAACGCACAGGTTGAGAACCGCTGTGCTAGAGTAATTGGCCTCTCTTGGCTCAAAAGGGCAGTTTCCTCTCTGAGGACCTCTAGATGGGTGGACTGTTCTGCTCAGCACACCTTGCCCAGCCCCAGAGCGATTCTCCCCCCACAAGCAGAGTTGTTGCAGAATGGCCTTAAAGTACAAGTTGGCACTGGGCCCAAGTCTGGCCTGCAGATAGGTTTTGTTTGGTTTATACAGTGTTTTTAAATGGATTTCAGTTACTTGCTTTTAATGACAAGTCAGTAGACTTCACCAAATGATCCAAATTTGGGACTGTGCTTGAGCTCTGGTATTCCCCAGCCTGCAGAACCACGTGGCAGGATTCCACTGAAGCCCAGATGACGGGGTGCGTGCTCTCTGTCCCAGCCTCCCGACAGAGAGCACGCTTCACTTATTTCTAGGACTTGTCTAGACTCTTGGAGGTTGCCTTTGTCACTCTTGTCCTACAAAATGAATGAGTGGAGGTGGGTTGCAGATAAAAGAATTGGTGTTTTCCCCTTCCCTTAACTAACAGGAAGCCTGGAGGTGGTCATTTTATTTTATTTTTTAAATATATTTTTATTGCTTTCAGAGAAGAAGGGAGAGGAAGAGAGAGATAAAAACATCAATGATGAGAGAGAATCATTGATCTGCTGCCTCCTGCACATGCCTGCAACCCGAGCATGTGCCCTTGACCAGAATTGAACCCAGGACCTTTCGGTCCATGGGCTGACACTCTATCCACTGAGCTAGGGCAAGGTGGTCATTTTATTTAGTGCTTGTCAAGACTCAGTTCCTCAGAGTAATATGTGTTTGTTTATTTCACATTTTATCTTTATAAATGTTTCTGACCTTATTTGTAAGTTACAAAGAATCAATGTAATGACAAGAAAATGGTGCATATAAAAGGATCACTCTTGCCTGTCATTCAAAGTTCTTTATAGTGGTTGATTCATTACCAGGTATACATATTAGAATATTATAGATGTTATGTAATGTCCTTGAAAGTTATTAACAAAATATTACATGAGAAAAACAAGTTGCAGGTAATGGGTATTATTCAATCCCATTTTTATGTAGGATTTGGTCTCTTGGAGTATGGGTCAACATACTTTTTTTGTAAAGGGCCAGATAGTAAATATATTAGACTTTGTAGAGCACACGGTCTCGTCACAACTCCTCAGCTCTGTTGTAGCTGGAGCACATGAACAATAAATGAACAAGCCTGCCTGTGTTCCAGGAAAGCCGTATGGAAGCAGGCATTCAGCTGCTAGTCAGCTCATCAGGTTCTGTTTTAGCGTATTTGAGGGCCCAGTGTTGCGTGTCTGAGGTTTAGGGACATAAATGTCACCTGAAAAGGAAGAGTTAGAAACAAGAAGCACCTCAGAAGATCAGGTGGTGCTGCTGCTCTGTGTCCTCTCATTGCGAAGAATTGCCTCCGATGCGGGTCTCACATCCTTGTCTTTGTCTGTCAGACACAGGGCCAGGACCTCAGCACACTTTCACCAGCAACCATCTTTAAGTCCATGTTCCAGAATTCAGATGATACGGCAATTCAGGAAGATCCTCAGCAGACAGGTTTGTTACACAGTCTCTTCCTGCCCAGATCTCAGCTCTGGGAAGGGAGTCACACGTTGACTCTGAATGACAGGCATGTGAAAGATCACTTCAGTTTCTGTGAATGAAGTGACTTTCAGTGAGGGGTTAGAAAAGTAAGGGCCTTCAGTTCAATTCCATCTTTTCCCTACTTCCCTCAGCAAGGGTCTCCTTGAGGGTCTGCTTTTCCCTAGACCTTCAAAGAGGAGGGTCTCCTTTTCCAAAAGCTCTTGTTGGCTTTAAAAAATGAGAGGAACTGTGAGGTCTTCTGCTGTGACACCCATTTGTGAGAGGGTAGGATCCACCGGCTTAGCTCAGACTGTTCGAATGAGAATCTCCCTGAAGCCTCACAGTCGTCAGAAAGCGTGCACACTGGTCATGCCAGAAAGGATGTCAAGCCCCATTTGTAGAAAAGCCTTACGACGCGTTTTTTTAAGCTAAGACCTACACTAGGTCTTCACATTTAGCAAGTGCGGGTGATTGTGAAGCCTGGTTCTTGGACCAGAGGTGCCATTAAATGAAAGGCAGAAAGCCAGCCTGCTAGCAATGAAGGAATTGGCTCCAACAGACTTCAGCTGTCTTTGGTTTAGCTCTTAGTGACTGTGTTATTGTGGCTCATCGAAGGCTTGGGATATGTATATATGTTTCTATTTCTTTTTTTTGCCAGCTGCCTTGATTGAAAGTTTTAATGGTGATGCAGAGTCAGTCAATGATGTTCCGCCACCCACAGGAAATTCAGCATCTTTATCTCTTCCACTTGTACTGCAGCCTGGCATCTCCGAGCCACCTCAGCCTCTACTACCAGCCTCAGCACCGTCTGCTCCTCCGCCTGCTCCCTCCTTAGGACCTGGTTCCCAGCAAGCTGCATTTGGCAACCCCCCTGCTCTCTTACAACCTCCAGAAGTGCCTGTCCCCCACAGCACACAGTTTGCTGCTAATCATCAAGAGTTTCTTCCGCACCCTCAGGCACCGCAGCCCGTCGTAACAGGACTTTCTGTTGTTGCTGGGGCTTCTGCGTCAGCAGCGGCAGTGACGTCAGCCGTGGCAGCAGCGCCCCAACCACAAAGTACTACTGAACCCCTGCCAGCCATGGTCCAGACTCTACCCCTGGGTGCCAACTCTGTCCTAACTAATAATCCCACTATAACCATCACCCCGACGCCCAGCACGGCTATCCTGCAGTCCAGCCTCGTCATGGGAGAACAGAACTTACAGTGGATATTGAATGGTGCCACCAGTTCACCACAAAACCAAGAACAAATGGTAAGTATTATGTATAAGCAGGTCCAGGGGGGTGAAGTGTCCTTACATAGGGGACATGTTCAGAGGCTTTTGCTTCAAAAAAGGAAAATGGCTGTCAGGCTCTGAAACATGTAATTGTGTCTCTCGGTCACTTTTCCCAGGATCAGGTGGTGTAAACCCAGGGAATGCTGTGGTTGGTACCTACAGAAGGGCGGCAGAGAATCAGGCTTACGTTTCCCGAGCAGTGGGCACTTGAACAAATGTTCCACCTGCAGCCTACTCCTGTCATCTAGGACAGGCACGCATTCAGACAACTCC